TAAGCTTGCAGACGGCAAGAGCATCCAACCAGTATCGGCCCTCATCATGCGCCTTGTGCAAGCCAGTGCTGGGCGCGTGGCTGAGAAGGAAAAGTCGTCGTCTGGAATCGTCGACGAAGTTATGGAAGACGGCGAAAAAGCCGAGATTGAAGCCGAGGAGTCCAACCAAGCACCCAGTGCGCCCGTGGCTACCATCACATCGGAAGAGCAAGGTGCTTATGAGCACGAACTTTCGATTGCCGAGCTGACGGACGCCGCATCGCCCCTGAACAGCACGGCGTACGTACACGCCAAGTACGTTATCAAATTCATCGTTGAACGGGCGCAGATGTCGTCCAAGTCAGCCGACACCCCATACCGCAACCTCTTAGACCTGTTTGTCGAGGACTTCACAGCATGTCTCGAGACCCCTGACTGGCCGTCTGCAGAGCTTCTTCTTCGTCTTCTGATGATGGCCATGTTCAAGCTCACAGAAAACGACAAGGTCCCGGCCCCTGTGAAAAACATGGCTCTGGAAGAGCTTGGTGTCATCGGAGCGGCTCTTGCAAAGTTGCGGTCAACCATCCACCAGTCTGCAAACTCGCCGGAGAATACGGGTCCTGACGAGCTGGACCGCCTGTTGTCGGACCTGGCTGGGGCAGCACTAGGCGACAACCCCCCAGCTGAAGAGTTCTTAGCTTGGAAGGGACCCTTCTCTCCCGCCTTGGAATACCTCGAAGACCGGAGTTCACAGGACCCTCACTTGCGGGGCGCCATTTCTTACACTGTAGCAGACTGGGCTGCTCGGGTCTGCCGTCTGTACTCCACACGTGCCGAGGCTGCAGCCGCAGCTGCCGCTGCCGCAGCGGCTGAGGCGGCGGCCGCTGGTGACGAGGGCGAGGGCAATGACAGCGTCAAGGCGCGGGACAACCGCGTGCTGGAGCGGCAAAATAGAGATCTTGGCAGAATCGCCTACCGACTCCGTGTCATGATCGAGGACAACCGTGGAGTGGCCGGTAACCGGGCCTTCAAGGGTGTTACCGCGGCACAGGCAAAGCTCTCCTATGCCATTGTTGCTCTGAGATCGCCACTAGGCGGCTCCTTCAACGATATCATCAACATCCTAGCAATGGGTATGGGCAGCGACCAGGCCACCGTCCGCAGCAAGAGTCTGAAGAGTATCACAGAAGTTCTTGAGACGGACCCGTCAATTTTTGACAACCCAGCGTCGATTGTCGGTCGTCTCATCCGCGAATGCTGCGCCGACTCGTCGGTACAAGTACGAGACTCTGCACTGGGTTTGGTCAGCCGCGCTATCATCCTGCGGCCAAACCTGGAGTCTACTATGATCAAGACCGTCATCGATCGTTTCCTGGACTCAGGTGTCGGTGTCCGCAAGCGTGCCATCAAGATTGCGCGAGACGTCTATTTGCGGAACCATTCCAAGGAAATCCGCAGTGATATTGCGAACGGCTTGCTTCACCGCATTCAGGATCCTGACGAGGGCGTCCGGGACTTGGCACGGCAGACAATCGAAGAAGTCTGGGTGACGCCTTTTGCAGAGACGGTCGCTGCCAGCGCGGCCGGTACGGAGACCACTGCCGAAAAGTCATCGTTGACTGAGCATGTCATTCTGATTCTGCAAACGGTGAAAAACGGGTCGATCACCCCCATCCTCGACAGAGTCTTTCAAACCATCCTGTCGCCCACGGCCAAGGCGGCGACGGCGAACTTTGATGTCTGCAAACGTTTTGTCGCAATCATGTGCGACCTTGCCGACAACCCCGACAGTGACGATCCATCTATACCATCTGGAAACGAGGCACTCCAACTGATGATGATCTTTGCCAAAGCAGACCCGCGCCTCTTTACCTTTGAGCAGATCCGCCTCTTGAAGTCGCACATTGTCAACGTGAAGAACGTCAAGACTGCTCAAGACATGGCGACAGCCCGCGCTGTCGTTGTCATTTACAGCCGTGTCCTTCCACAACTGTCAAGCGTGATGAAGCCGTTCTTGGAGGAGATTAGAAGTAACCTGCTACCGAGCGTTGTCGCGGTCAGCAGAACACTCCTGGACGACGTGATGGGGTGTATATGGGTGGTCAGTGTCCTCCTGAAAGACCCAAAACCGCTCGTGCGTGTTGTCATTTCAGCCATCCGCGGCGTAGTCAATCAAGAGAAGATGACGGACAACGATTCGGACTTTGACAAGAAGGCGAAGAGATTCTTGCGCTACGCGCTGATTGTTGGCATGGCGGGTAAGCATTGCGATTTCGACAGCGAGATCGAGACCTTCCGGGCGCAGTTCCCGTCGTACAACTTCTCCTCCGTGTCGAAGCTCATGGTTGATACGCTCTGCCCGATTTCGATCCCGCCATGGCCCCTCGCTATCCGGCGCATCGCCCTGGACGCAATGGGTCTGATTTGCCAGTCATGGCCGCGCAACTTTGTGGAGAAGAACGTCTATACATCGTTCCACATTGCATTCAAGCAGCAAGACCCCAGCCTGGAGGTCAAAATCATGCAATCATTAAAGGAGTTCCTCACAAAGGAGGAACTGCGGTCCGAGACGGGATCTGATCCCAAGGCGCAGAAGGCGGCTGCACGCAACGATGTTGGGAAGTCGGCCCGTGTTGGCGAGGGTGCTGGTAAGAAGAGACAGCTCACCGTCATGGGCGGCACAAATCACGATGATGTTGCAAGCGCGACGACACAGCGGTTTATGGGTGACATTACACGCATTGCGCTTGGCTCGGTCAGCGAAGAAGCATATTTGGCTGCCGAGATACTTGCCAGCATTAGCCGGCAAGGTCTCGTGCATCCCAAGGAGACAGGTGTGACAATGATCACCTTGGAGACATCGACCATGCCGAAGATGGCCGAACTAGCGTATCGGGAGCACCGTGCACTGCACAACAAGTACGAGACAGTGTTGGAGCGTGAATACGTCAAAGCCGTGCAGACTGTGTTCCAGTACCAACGAGATGTCATCAACGACACCCGCGGCGCCACGACGGAACCGTTCACATCCAAGCTGCACCATCTGATGGACGTCGTCAAAGACAGCAAGTCCAAGAACCGCGGCCGGATGCTGGAGAAGATGTGTGGCCAAGTCGACTTTGAACCGAACAAGCTGGACGTGTCTGAGGAGACACCGCATCACCTTGAGTTTTCTCGCTTCGTTATTGAAAATATGGCGTTTTTCGAATTTGTCACCGTGGCCGAACTCCAGTCGCTCGTCTCAACCATGGAAAGGATCGTCCACACAACGGGTGTGACCATCTCACAAACTATTGAGACAGACATTTTCGATTCGACTGGTGGTCAACAGGAGACGCCCGTTGTCCCTGACGGCACCGAGGGGGGCGAGACGTCAGCACCAGCACCAACCGGGCCAGCCCTCCGTCCTGGCCTCGCTCCCCGCCGCCTGAAGCAGATTGCCACCGGGTGTATGGTGCTGCTCTGCCTGTGGGAGGCTCGTACGTTCCTGTGCCGGCAGTACGGCCTCAAGCGCGAAGGCAACAAGGCCAAGGGCGCCGGGCGCGACTTGACGCGTGCTCCGACCAAGGTCCAAGGCATAACGGCCGACAAGTTCTGGGAGGAGATGAGCTCGATTATGAAGGGACTCGACTCCGAGGCGCTCATGGCCGCCCGCTGCAAGGCCTTTGTGGAGCTGCTGACGGTCGACTCCGACTTTAAGCTCGAAGAAGACGATGGCAACGGCATGGACGACGACGACCCGGCAACGCCCAGTGGCGGTGAAGACGACGCTGGCCGCGAGCGTGGCCGGAAGCGCAAGGGCGGCAGCACACCGGGCGGACGCAAGAAGCGGCAACGGTCGAGCTCACAGCAGCCCCGCAAGAGAGGCCGGCCAAGGAAGAGCGCCGGTCTCGACGAGGATGGCGACGGCGAATTTGATTTCTAAACGAGGAGAAGCCAAAAACGATGTGTTTTATCGAATAGAGTCGGATGCCCGGGCTAGACAAAGTGGAGGATCAAAAAAAGATTCCATGTTAGAAGGGTGTGTGCATATGGGATGCGTATCTGGGACTGGCATTTGCTGTTTCTGATTGTTCTATGTTTTATTATTTGTTTTATTTTACTTTCTGTTTTTTTATCGTTTATTCACGCGTGCATACACGACGCAGCCTCAAGGACGAGGACTCGGTCAAGGACGACTGGCTTTTTTTGCGTGTGTCTTTTTTTCTTTGATCTTTTTCTTTCCACCTTCGAGATTCTGGTCATTTCCTTGTATGTTCGTTACACCATATTCGGGACGGTAGTGCTTCGAGCCTACCAACTTTTGTACCAAAAACAACCAAGGGACTGGTTTGATTTGATACAAAACAAAACAATGACAGAACACGAATGCTCTTCAACCGGGACATTGTAGTCAAAGTATCTCAAGCAATTACAGAGTACGACATGCAGTGTTTCAAATATCATGGTAGGGAGAAACGTTTGTTAGGTGGCGTAACGGCGTGATAATATTAAAAGCAGGAAAAGTAAATGCCACTGCTGTGTTTCTTCCAAGAAACAAAGGATACCTGATAAAAGGTGAACAATAACCGATAACCAATAACCGACTGCCAATAACCTCACAATACCAAATAATAAATCGGAACAAAAAGAGAGACGTTGCAAATGGGGTATACAGAAAATGCCCCAAAACCAAAGATGCGACGTGCTTTGCTCTGATTTATTTTCTCCGTTTGTCCGTTCCGAGGACGAGAAATACAGAAAACATATGCAAAGAAAGCCAAAAACAATAACGCCGGGTATGAATGCCGTCCTGGCCCGCCTACCCAAATGGGCAGGTCTATCTGTACACGTCCTCTTTCGCCTGTCATATGCATTGTATCTGAAAACATTGTCTCCAAATCATTAAATCAGGACGCAGTCGACGCTTGTGCAGTCGACCCCTATTCCTGTCGTCGTACTATCATTCGGTAGCCCACATGTACCGTTGATCGGGCCGAGAAAGAAAAAAAAACACGTGTGGGAGGCACGTCGTCGTTCTCTTAAACCGCCAGTGTTGATGTGTGAAGGTGGTCGGTGGTAAGACCCAGGTCCTCGTCGTTCTGCTTCTGTGCGCCCGCCGGAGCTTCGTCAAAGGCAGCATCAGGGCGCGGGGTCTGCGGCTCACGGTCGGAGTCGTCAATCGAAGACGTCGTGGGCTCAGAAGCATTGGGAATGGAGGGTATGGCCTCAGCATCGTCGACCGTGTTCGTCTTGTCCGCGACAGTCGTATCAGCGGCAGACTCATAAGCAGACGTGGTCACAGAGGACTCGTTCTCCACGGCGCTGACAGGAACGGCAAGAGCAACAGGCGTGCGCTTCATAGCCGACTCCGCCAACCCAGCCACTGGCTTCGTATTCGCGACGTCGGGTGACTCAGCGCGGACATCAGACGTCACGCTGCTCTGAAACGAGTTGCGCAGGGGGCTGCCGATGGCAGAGAGGTCGCCATACTCGCTCTTGCTAGCTCTGGACGTCCGGGCGGGGCTCCGCAGCGGCAGGGGCGGGGCAACGCGCTTGGGAATGTTCACAAGCGCGCCCTTGGCTTGGATGACCTGGGCAACTTGCGTGGCCATCTGTGCGGGTGCAACACGAACCGGCCGCACAGTAGTCGACGCGACCTCGAAAATAACTGGCTCTTCCTCCATGTCGTCGTCGTCCAAGTCGTCGTCGCCATCGTCGAAATCAGCGGCATCGTCCAGCGTCTCGTTGCCGCCGTCGTCGCCAAAACCGTCAGTCTCCTCGTCCTCGTCGTCAGCATCCTCGTTCCGCTCATCCTCCACAAAGTGACTGGTCGCCAGGGTCGCGGCACCATCAGACAGCTGCTCGTCAGTTTCGATACCGCGGTCGACCGTGAGGTACTTTGAATTCGTTGTGTCTGCGGCGGAGTCGGTCATTACAGCATCAGGAACAGGAACTGGACGGTGCCTTGGCGGCAGAAGCGGCGGGGCATTGGACATGGCCAGTCCGGCCGAGTCCTCCTCAGGCGCGGCGAGCCGCTCGACGGGTTGTTCGACGGGTTGCTCGACGGGTTGCTCGACGGGTGTGGCATGCACAGACAGTTCTGGGACGGGGGAGGGGACATTCCTTGCCAAGCTGTTGCGGATGTTGTCGTGGTTCGCTTGGGCATCTTTGCCGTCGTCGGAGTGGGTGGGACTGAGAGAGGTGTCTGGGGTTCCGGTGACGTCGTTCGTCTGTGTACAAGCATCAGTCATTGATGTAGCTTGTGTACGGGTGGACATGTAGCTTGTCCGGTTGTTGCCGTGCTCCAGGGCGGCGACATCGGCGCTCTGGCGGCTGAAACGAGAAGCAAACATAGGACTGGTGGGACTTGCGTTGTTGTTGTAATCAAACTGGTGGCTTGAAGGCCGGTGTTTGGAACCGGCTTCACGAATCTCCAAGCCAGCCATCTCCAGGGCAATGATGCCAAAGGGGTCTGGGTCGGCGGCGTCGGGTATGCCAAACGTGGCGGAGTTCGGGGAGGACGGGGTCAGGATACCCGGGGTGTCGGCAATATCGGCGTCGCCCGGAGCCGGCTGCTGCGACAGACGGTCCATAGTGGCCGTGTCAAAGTCAATTCGACCCTCGGCGGCCTTGATGGCCTCGAAGAGCGGGAGGATTTCGGGGATGGATTTGCGGACATTGCCCGCGAGAATGTCAAGGATGTCAATAGGCTGCGAGCCATTGCCGGCGCCGTCTTCGGAGTAGAAGCGCTCGTTCTCGTTGGATCGCTCAGTGACGAGGGAGCCGGCGAGCTGCGCCGGGCTGTGGCGTCCGCGTGCCTTGAGGTACGTTAACACAGTATTTCCGAGCTCATGGTTCAACCGCACATCGTTTTCCAACAAGCCCATCGTGACGAGCGGCCCAACAGTCAGTGGGATGTCGGTGCCCAGGGTGAGGCGTGGCCGCGTAAACAGCTCTAGCGCGGCGACGCTGTTGATGACCAAGACACAGTCGTAGATATCGACGCCCATCATGAAGGCGACCGTCGAAGTGTGCAAGAGAATGCCCGAAGGCGGCGACCAGGTGCCGTCGGCCTTGCGGGCGATGAGAATGCCAGAGCCGCCCGAGCCGGACATCCAGAGACCCGAGCGCATGCAGGAAAAAATGGCGAGACCCACGGCCTCTTGGATGATGCGAGGTGGAATCTTCCTCTTGGCGGGCGTCAGGCCACTCGTGGGCGACATGGGCGGCACGTCGCCCGAACGCCTGGGCGGTAAGCGCGGGGATGCGAGGCTGTTCATGCTTGCACGATTTGTCGGGCTAGTTGGTGCGGCGTCGGCCTCGTCGAGAAAACCGTCGGCTGGGAATTGTTAGCACTGGGACCGGCGCAAGAAGAGAAGAGCAAGGAAAGAAAGATTGAGCAAGGTTGTAAAATAAAAAAGGGCGCCTCAACAACATACTGCAGAACGACTTGAGGATGCGCGCCGCCTTTTCGCACTCGCGATCGAGCGCCGACGGCCAGTACGCTTCGCGGCCCATCTGGCCGGAGAGCGAAGGCGTGGTGGCAGCATTGGCGATACTGGGCGAGACGGTCAGCGTCTTGTGGCCGCCGATGCGGTCGGCCCAGCTGAACACTTTGGCAAAGGCGCGGCCATTGCGCAGCTGTGTGCTGTTGCTGCTGTTCCGGTTGTTGTTGGCGTTGCTAATGCTGCTGCTGGTGCTGCTGCGGTTGTTGTTAAGGCTGAAGCCGGTGCTGTTGGCGGCTGCGTTTGATGCTGCCGCTGTAGTGTTCCCACCGGTATTGCTTGTGTTGCCGGGATTGGATGCGCCATCAGCCGCCTTGGCCCTGTCCCAGCTCGGGAGCAAAGAGGAAACGCGCTGCATGGCGGGCAGCAATGCAGCGGGCTGCGCCCTCTTTGCTTTGTCCGGTCGTTGTACTCTCGGATCTTGGTTAGACCTGACGAAATGAGCCCGGTTTGGCTGCAGCCGCGGGTGCGCCGGTGGGAGGTTTGCAAACGCTGCTCAAGTAGGGAACAAAACAGGCGACGAAGATGGAGAACGCTCGGCTGGGGACAAGAGACGGTAGAAGAGACGAACGAGACGAGTGGAAAGCGACCGGGTGGAAGGAGGAATAAGAACGAGGAATAAGAAGGAGGCGGGAGGAAGATGAGGCGGATAAGAAATGAAGAGGAAAGAAAAGAAGGAAACCCGACGATACAACCAGAGAGACACAGGCACCGCAGGATAGAAAGAATAAAAAACGAGGAGACAGGGTAGAGCCAAAAAGCAAAGCCCACGCCCAGATGACGGAATGAAAGGTGAGTGAGAAGTGACAGGTGGAGCGCTAGGTTGTCTAGGTTTGAGAAACTTTAGTTTGGTAGGTTGCAGGGATCGTCCAGTAATAAGTGCGTCGAGGCCCTCGAAGCGGCGGCGGCGGAGGCGGCGGCGGATGGACTAGAGGGAATGCGAGAGGGTGGGCGGTCTTGGTGCAGCAGGCCACCACAAGGTTGCTCCCCATCTGCAAGTCGATCTTGCCGTACGACGGTTGACGTACTCAGTACACAGCACCGTATCTTGTTAGATTGCCGCTGCTTTTCTTTTCTCTCCTTCTTTCTCTTCTCCTGATCTTCATCGACATTCGTCTCTTTCGACAGTTGCCGAAAGGTTGTGTTTCGTGGGTTCAATGGCGCATTAGAGCTGGTGAGAAGCAAGCGACGATGTGAGAGAGGAGGCAAAGAGGGGGTCGAGCGCGAAGAAACCCGGCGACCAAAAGAGTAGAACACTAGAGGCAAAACACAGTGCGGAACATATGCATGCTTGCTAATCTCGTGGGCTAGCAAAAAGGTTCTTTTTCTTTGGTCTTTGGGAATTTGGGGGCCCCGTATTGTTGCTTTTTCTGTCCGTTTCTGACCTTGGACTCCCCTACAGCCCAGTCCGCTTTCGCTGAGACTTCTTCGACTGTTTTTATCGTTTGCTTCCTACTTCGTAGTTGTTGCGTCGTATGTCTAGAATGGGGCCCACTTGGTGCGCGTGATGGATGGTTGGAATGGCAGCTGGTTGGTCCTGTAGGTGTGCGAAAAGAGAGGAACCTGCAGACGGCGCCGTCGAGACGCTTTTGGTGGTTTGGGTGCTCTGGTGCAGTTGAATTGAGAGCAAAGGGCCAACGGCGGAATGAAACTAAAATAGAGACGGATGTATACTTGTTTGAAGGGGTGCGTAAAAGGGCACACCCAACAGGGGCGGAAAAAGAGGCTGGAAAGATGTGGGGAACAGGAGAGAAAAGGAGACTGGGGGAGGATGCAATAAAAGTAAAGAGGAGGCAAAGGGAACACGACACAAGCAGAAAGAGCGGACCGGAGGGAATGACGAATGCAGCAACGACAAAGGGAAGGAAGGAATGGACGACGATTGGTGACGCGTGGGATAATGGAAGCAGCGAACGAGGGCAGCTGGTAGCAAACGGGGGCAGGCGCATGGGGCAGAAACGGGCGTGCACTTGCCCCCATCTTGTCCTTTTGCGCAACTGCCCAGGGAGATACTCTTTGGGGTTTACACAAGAGAAACAAGGAAAGAGCAACTGTTGCAATTGCAACACTGCAGTTGCAACTTCCAACGAAGGCGAAAGAACCAAACAAGCAACAGCGCATATACACGGAAAGCGGCAGCACACAACGACTCCTTGCCGCCGCGTGTTGTTATCGAAAGGGCGGGGTGCGCAATGCGGGCAGCATTGGGCCTGTGCGTTTGGTGTCTCCCTGTGCCGTACGTAGTGTGCGCCGCGCAGACTCGTATTCCAGCAATGTCATAGAGCAAGTTATGTGACCTGAATAAGGCGCTGCGCAGGCAGGACCGATCGCGGGCTACAGTACGGAAGGTACTTGCAACCCAAAGTGAAGGAACGCTAAAAAGGAGAGCAACAGACATCGCAACTTCGATCTGAGATGCAACACCTGAGAGTGCTTCTTCATTTTCAAAGGCAAGTAAGATATATACGAAATACACAAACTGAATAGCCCCGTCAATGTACTGTACACCGGCATCCTTTCCCCGCTGCAATGTCCGTCGCTGAGCACCGCTTGATACATCGCCTTCCGCATGCAAGCCGAACCAATCGCGGAAGAGAGGCTATGTAGACAGTAAGTGTCCAAGACACACAAGCTGAAGATACGCTGGTTGTCTCAGTTCGGTTGTAGAGGAGATGTTGGTAGAATGAGGGACCGGTAGAAAAGAAAGCGCGAAGAGAGTGAACAACATGGGCTAGGAAAGGAAATCATACGAAGCATGCAAGTAGTGCATCAACAGCCAGAAGGCAGGATCTTGTCCTGCCTGCTTTGATTGGTTCCGTTTCGTTTTTTTCTACTGCTCTTGCTACGGCATTCCAATTTATTCCGTCAAAGGCGCATACCCATACTCCGTCACCGTGCATGCTCCAAACGCAAGCACTGAGAAGGTGTGCATCCCAATCCCGGCAACAGTCGAAAAAGGGGACCTGTTCCTGAATATGCTGCCGTCCTTTGTCGCCTTTGATAGGACCGACAGGATAAAGTTAATTGCCCGCTTTGCTTTTCTTGCTTTGATGCCGAAATGACTGGCGCGCGGATAGATTTCAAACAAGGAGACGCAATCTACTGTGTATTCCTGTGCATGCGGGCCTCTTGCACGCCTGCAACCTCCTGTGGGTCGATATTAACATTTATGTAGGCACTTTTGTCAAAAGTGTCGATCGCTGCGGGAGGCTGCCGGATGCGCAGACAGTGTGTATGGTGCGGGAGGGGGAACAAACAGGGCTGACCCTGGCACGGGCAAACGTGTGAATACATGGGTGGTGCACAGGTTCAGATATCTTACTAACTTGCACTTGCAATGTTAAAATGATGCGTAGGTTGTCTTTCTGGAGGTTCCCGTTTCAGTTTGTTTTCATTGATCACTTTCGGTTTACCTGCCTATCCTCCCAAAGGTGTTGAGTGCTGAGTCAAAGCGAGACAAGAAACGATTGATACAGAGACAACGTAAAACAGTAGACGATCCTATCCTAAAGCGAACAAAATTGGGCTCCAAAAGGTTATTTAACCATGTGGACAGGCTCGACACGCTCCGGACAGCAAGGCGTGGCCATCAAACAGGTTTGGAATGCCAGGAACAACAGAAAGTAACACGTCACTGAATGGAATGGAGAATTCCAAGTATGCTACTTGTCTGCCCCGATTTTTTACGTGCTGTGCAAACGTGTTGGCGGGATATCGTGCACATTTCTCTCCGTGCTGGTAGATGCTGCGAAAGCCGCTCAATGCATGAGGTATACAACGGGAGGTTTGATGCTTGCTTATTTCCCCACTCTATTGGGACGGCGGAGACAATGGATGTCGCTCCAGGCCAAAACAGGTGTACTTCCACCACTGTGGCTGAAGGGTGAGCATGTTTATTCTTTTTGCTCGCAGAAGAAGGAGTGGAAAGGGGTGTGGGTATGATTGCCAAGCATGCTTTACTCCGCAGGTTCCTGAACCATCGCGGAGCGTGCCAACTCCGTAGATCTGCCGTCCGAAGCTGAAGTGGCCTAAAGCATGGAAAGAGGGCAAGCTGTGGCCTCACAATCAAAAGAGAATTTTGCAATTTCACGATGCGAGCTCAGCTACATCCAAGTTCGGTCTTGGTCCGGTTGAAAATCGAGTTTTTATACCATCTTTGGAATGGCTCTCGACGTATTCGATATACGACATGCTCGTCCACTTAATGGCGGGCTACTTATCGCATCGGGTTGTTTTAAACGAGATAAGTAAGATTACCGGCGTGCGTCAAGCGGCCAGCGGCAGACAGGAACTAGAAAACGTGTGGTACACGAGTCCCGAGCAATTTGCAGGAGTACACCATCACAGCCACAATTTTTTTTAAAAAAGACTCCCATATTTCAAAGAACAAAGGATGTTTTCTCCCTAATCTTGTTAGTAACGCAAAGCAAACTGCAAGGACAGACGATGGCCTCCAAAGGTAACTAACGGGACGACAAAGTCAAGAAATTAACAGATCTAAGAGAAAGAATTCATCTGGCACATCGATCGACCCTGTTTTTCTGTGATCTTCCTTCCGATCGCAAGCAGGGGGTGTGCAAAAGCCAAGGCCACCTTTTACTAGGCAGGTTTTCAGTGGTTCATCCAGCTAGTAAAAAGGAGGAGCGATGAAAGAAATCCATGTGCGCGGTGCTGTTAAAAACAGCTCCAGTCGAAGTAAATAGGCCCATTCGTCAAATTAAGAACAAATACAAATCCATATGTCTAGCAGAGCCGGCGAAAAATACGACTTTGGATGATCACAACAGGCAAGCAGGGACAAATTAAAGTGCATGCAGGGGAGTAGCTACAAGTCCCCAGCCGGCTAGCGAATTCGGGGTCGAACTGATGAGCAGATGTGCTGCCAGGATACGACAGGAAAATAGGTGAGAGATCGGCAAATATTGAAAATTGGTCGAGGCATCGCGTCGTTTACTTCCCTACTCGAACGGGGGGCACCCCTGGCGAGCTGAAAGGCGACAATTGCACCAAGGCGCTGGGAACCGCTGCTGGGAACGATGCCAATTACGGCGTTGATTGTAGCCATGCCACCATAAAAAAGCACTGCAACAAAAGAAGCCCTGGTTGAGATCGACAACCGGTGCATGCAACGAACAATATTCTCGGCGTCGGTAGAGATCGAAAAAGGCTTTTCTTTTTCACTGGCTAGCTTTCGCATTTTCAAACAACTGACACGTAACTCAAGTACAAAACTTGCGGAGAAGGAGGCGCACGAATGGGCAAAGTGACAGTTTCGTCCAAGGTCCCCAGGTCAGTGGACTAGTCAGGAACAGAGGCCATGGAATGGGCTGGATGCATCTTTTCGATTCCCGACGAGCGTGTGACAAAAGTAAGGAATATATACAGTTGGGGGCGAGACCCCTGACTTGGAGGCCGCGCCTCGTTGGCCGTTCGTCTTCTGCCCCCTTGCACCGTGCTGGCCGTCGGTCGGGCAAACTTGAACATGACAGGTTATACGTCGTACAACGAGAAACGAGGACGTAGCAGTCTGTGCGACCGCGCTGGTTAAGCCGACGGTGAGATATATGGGGCTTTGTCCGTGGGCACAAACGGGGAACGGAACGATACAACGACGTTCCTTGCACATCGACAAACACCAAAGACAAAGGAGCCTTGGCCACGATGTCCGTTGCCGCCTGTCTCTCTCCCTACCTCCACATCCCGTCTGCAGCGCGGCGCCCTTTTGACTCCCTTGCGCCAATGCTTAATTTAGGACTCGTACGAGAGGGACTTGTATCAAGATAATTTCGTTTTTTGGTGCATGTTGCAACCTCCCGTTTGCCCCTTGCAGCGGAAATGTTCAGACGAAATAGATCCGGCGGAAATCAAGAAAGTCTGCCACGAAAATGTCTCAGTCACGTATAGTCCAAACGGTGAAAGGAAATTACGAGGCAGAAGAAGCAAAACACAAATGAGCAACCACAGCGCTCGTTTGCTTTTTCTACTTGTTTTGTTTTCTACGATCTTGGCCTTTAATTTTGCGCGTGTTTTTTGTCTTTGTCGCGAACTGTCCTCCACCGTTTCTTCTACCATTTGCATTCTCACTGTGCACAACTCTGGCGATCGACAGCTAAATAGAAAAGAGACGGAAACAACCGTCTGGACAGAGAGAAGGCACGAGAGACGACGAGGGGACGTGTTTACAGGTGCCATGCTTTGTGCTGTTCTGCTAATTTCGCTCCAGCTCCTGTTTTGAGTCTGTTTCTCTTTACTTCGTGTGGCGGTCCTGACAGTCTCTCCGCGCTGTCTCCTGTATTTTCCATCGCCCACGTTGTCTCGTGTCGTTCCTCTGAAACCCGGACGTCAAAGATGGTAGTGTCGTCGGCCATGACCATGTCCCCGTCAACGTATAGGCATGGAGCTGAATATCGGAGAAAAAGCAACTGCCTCCCATGGAATAGGGATGTGCCCCTGCTGCCGCACCATCGTGAAATATCGTGTTCCTGACGAGACAACCTTGACCTTGTTTCGGAGGGAGTTGCCCTGGCCCACGCAATTTCGGAGCTGTCTAATGAACTGAAAATAATAATATACGCGAAATATTTTAGAAATATACAAAAAAACCGAACGAATACAACTATAATTCGTACAGCTTAAATTTTGAAGGATTCCTGTATAAATTCATCATTTTTTTTTTTTTGTGATTTACGCAAATTATCCCGCACTCAATGGTGAAAACCCCAGCCATTGAATAACATCCACACCACAAAGTGTATTGATCGCCTTCATACAAAATAAGCCAACTTTTCATCCACCAGTAAATCTCGCGTTGCGCATAGAAGAAGATGATACCAGACCTGGTTCCTTGTAAAAGCCCAAAAATAAATCGTGGGACATATATGTTGTACTCGGGCTGAGATCGCTTCAGGAAGGCGGTCAGCGCTTTTTCTGCCGGGCGGTGTAGGACAAAGCATTGTCTACACCTGAAAATTGAGGTTGGACACGCCGCCAATGCTTGTGGCTGCGGGTGGGGCCCAATGGGAGTAGGTCAGCGCAAGGCTTTGTCAACCTCCTCTGTAAAAAAGTATGAGCGAAGGCAGACGACCAGCGACCAACGACGAAGCTCACCCGACCAAGCATCCTGACGACTAGAGCAACGACCACGACGGCCCAGCGACCCTGCGACCATTTTCTTTGCTCTTAAGCTCGCGCGACTGCCATCATCTCCCCGAATTGAAGACGCGGCCGACACTCGTCTGCCCTCGTCGAACTCGAATCGCGATTGGACGCGTTGCAAAACGCTTCAACCAGTCCCTTCACCACCGCCTTCTCCCTCACCCGATATCTCCTATACGCGACCCAACATGGCCGACGTCAACATCCAGTATGTCCCTCCGAACCCCCGACCGTATTGAAGATTTTGGAACGCCTCACCGATGTGTGTCGAGAAGGACAAACAGCCGCTGACCATCTTTCTTCTTTTTTTTTTCTTTTCTTTTCCAATAGAGAACTCCTCCAGAAGCCTCGCAACGAGTGCACGTACGTACATCTGCCAATGCTTCCAACACGCCACGACGAACGGACGCCATGCTAACACCTGGCCAGGGAATACGAGATTGCACAGCTCGAGCAGTGGGAGTTTAGCAATGGCCCATTGTCCATCCTGCAGACCGCCGTCCGCACCCACTCCCAGGTCCTCATCAGCATCCGCTCGAACCGCAAGCTGCTGGCCCGCGTCAAGGCCTTTGACCGGCACTGCAACATGATTCTGGAGAATGTGGTATGTCATGGTGTCCTTGGCCACTCGTGCGTCCCTACCCCAAAACGCGCAGCTGCTAACCCGACCTAGAAAGAGATGTGGACAGAGACGCCGATAACCAACGGAAAGAAGGGCCGGCCCGTCAACAAGGACCGGTTCATTAGCAAGATGTAAGCCAACTTCGACGACCGCGGGAAAGGACCAGGTGCACACCTCGAGGCAGCCGCGATACTAACCTCCTGATCTAGGTTCTTGCGGGGAGACAGCGTGATTATTGTTCTGCTGAGCTGAGTGGGATGGCCAATGGGATGGAGCGGGACTGTTCTTTTACGTGCGCTTTTGAATTCTTTTACTTTTTTGGTTTTAAACACTTTATTTGGGAAAGGCCGGGGGAAATCCCATATGTTCTGCAGTACGTTCTGCTGTTCTGCATTTGATGTCATAATTCATATTCATCCGCTTTGTTTCTGCAAAGAATGTGAGGTGTGCGAAGAGTGAGGGGAAGCTTGATTGTGGGAAAATGTCATGATAGTACGTCCAAAGAGCACCGATAAAACGAGACTATAATGTAGGATGGTAAGATGTGAGACTGAGTTGTAATTAATTTCGAAAAAATAGCTAACCTTGTTTCCTTAAACCTGGCATGAAAAAAAAGGCAAAAAATGATTGAGAATTCGAAATGGTGCTTCCGTAAAGGAAGCGCATCAGGATTTGAGCCCGATGCGGGGGTCGAACCCGCAACCTTGAGATTAAGAGTCTCACGCTCTACCGATTGAGCTAACCGGGCGTTCGATCTCGTTATTGAAGGACGGGCTGGCCTTGTCGAGGTATGAGAAGGCGCTCTTCGGAGGGCCGGGCGGGGAAAGAGAAAACGATTTTTAAAATAGTGCCCGAATTTTTTGTGTGGGTTGATATCGATGGGCACGCCGCTGAAGGACCGAAGGACGACTTTGCGCCTGTGTCTTTGGGCCGTTGTGCCTTTCCATGGTCCCATAGTCAGATCTTGTATCAAAACGGTCCATGCACTTGTTATTTTCCCAATGCCCTCAAAACCTCCAATACCCTCAAAAAAAAACACTAAATAAAAACTACCACGCTACATGCCACCTGTGCCTGTATATAATTTTGTACTCCCCAACCTTTACTCCTCTGCCTTCTCCGTCTTCTCCGTCTTCTCCTCTGCCTTGGACCCGACCTGGTCCGACAGGTCCATGTCCAGGCCCTTGTCCTCCCGCAGCTTCACCAGCCGTTCCACCACCTGGTCCAGTGACAGCGTCGTGAGGTCGCCCTTGGAGTCGCGGATGCGGATGCTGACGCTCCGGTCCTGCATTTCCTTGGAGCCGAGAACTACAAGGTGTTAGTAGGATGAATCGATCATACCTGGGGGGATGGAAGAAAGGTAAGAACATGTGACCTACCAAAGATGTAGTTGTACTGCAGCACCTGGCCGTTGCGGATCTTCTTGTTCATGGTGTTGGCGCCAAGGTCCGAGTCGACGTAGAAGCCCTTGGCCTTGAGTACCTTGTGCACCTCGCGCACGTAGTCCTCGGCGTCCGCCATGACGGGCACCAGCAGGATCTGCCGCGGGCTCAGCCAGAACGGCCACTTGCCACCAAAGTGCTCGCTCAACGTGGCAATGAAGCGCTCGAAACTGCCCAGCACGGCACGGTGGATCATGACGGGGCGCGAGTAGCCCGGCGCCAGGGGCAGCACAACAGGACCGCTCGCCGGGATGGCACCGTCGGCAGGAGCAGCCTCAGCAGGAGCGGCGTCGGCAGGAGCGGCGTCGGCAGGAGCGGCCTCAGCTGCAGCGGGAGCCTCGGCCGGCTTCTCCACCGGTGTCTCGTCAGTCTTGGCGGCGTCGGCAGGGTTGCTGCTGGCCGCCGACATGTAGCTCAGGTTGAACTGCTGCGGCAGCTGGAAGTCCAGCTGCACAGTGGCACACTGGTGCCACCGGTGCAGGGCGTCCCTGATCTGGATGTCGACCTTGGGTCCGTAGAAGGCGCCATCGCCGGGGTTGAGCTCCCACTCGTCGCCCGTCTTCTCGGAGAACTCGTCGAGGGCCTTTTGCAACGTGGCCTCGGCGCGGTTCCACGTGTCGATGTGGCCGAGGTACTGCTCGGGGCGCGTCGACAGCTTGAGGCGGAACTTCATGCCGAGCTTGCCGTAGACGGTCTGGAGGAAGTCGAACTGGTCGCGGATCTCCTCGCCGATCTGGTCCTCCTGGCAGAAAATGTGGGTATCGTCCTGGATGAAGCGGCGCACGCGCGTGAGTCCGGAGAGGGCGCCCGATGCCTCGTTTCGGTGGAGCACACCAAACTCAGCCATGCGGAGCGGCAGTTCGCGGTACGAGCGTTCTCTGGAGCCGAAGATGAGACAGTGGCCGGGGCAGTTCATGGGTTTTAATCCTGGGAGTTAGTTAGTGGCTGGACAGAACGTATACGTTTGTGTTTTGGGAGGGGCTTCTTTCTTTGGACGTACCCCACTGCTGCTTCTCAATCTCGAGCGTGAACATGTCCTCCTGGTAGTCTGCAAGCGCGTGTTAGTGTTTTGATTTTGAAATGTTATGAATAATTCAAAGCAAAAGCGCCAATGGAGCCGTCCTGTACGTACGCTGCCAGTGACCGGACGTGCGCCACAGGTCGGCGTTGTACATGTTGGGCGACATGACCTCGACGTAGTCGCGGTTGTGGTACTCGCTGACGATAAACGACTTGAGTGCGTTGAAGATGCGCATGCCGTGGGGCAGGAAAAACGGCGAGCCGGGCGACATCTTGTGGAAAAAGAAGAGCTCCTGGTCCTGGCCAATGCGCCGGTGGTCTTTCTTGGCGGCCTCCTCCAAAAACTTTATGTAGTCGGAGAGCAGCTTCTTGTCGGGGAACGAGATGCCGTACACGCGCTGCAGCGAATCGTTCTTGGCGTCGCCGAGGAAATACGACGCGCTGTGCTTGAGCACGGCAAACGCCTTGATGCGGCCGGTGTCGACGACGTGGGGGCCCAGGCACAGATCAATGAGCGGGCCGCAGCGGTAGACCGTGGTGGACGTGCCGTCGGGGATCTTGGAGTTGATGAGCACCTGCTTGTACTTGTTGAACTTGAACATCTCCAGCAGGTTGGCCTTGGTCATGACGAGGCGCTCAAAGGGCTGGCGCTCGCGGACAATGCCCTCCATGAGCGAGGCAATTCGCTTCTCGTCGTCGTCGGTGACGGCGCTGTGCGCGTTGGGCTTGCCCTCGCCGTCCTCGGCGGGCATGCCGAAATCGTAAAAGAACCCCTCGTCGGTGGGCGGGCCGAAGCAGAGGTGGCAGCCGAATGTCTTCTCGGCCGCCTCGCCCAGGATGTGGGCGCTCGAGTGCCAGTAGACACGCTTGGCCTCCTCGTCCTCAAAGTCGAGCAGCTCGACGTTGGCGCTGCCCTCAAAAGGGCGCATCAGATCCCACAAGGTGCCATTGACGCGCGAAATGACCGTGCGGTCGGCCAGGGACTTGCTGATGCCGCGGGCAATGTCGTAGGGCGTGGTCTCGTAGGACGTGCCGGCGATTTGGCGGCCGTCGGGCAGGGTGACGGTGATGGGCTCGCGGGGCTTGCTGGCGAGCTCGGCGTCGGCAGCGGCCTTGAGGCGGTCGTAGACAGCGATACGGTGCGGGATGAAGTCGAGGTTCGGCGGCGGGCCGGCGTCGGCCACGACCGGGACGACCTTGGGCGCCTTTACTTTCGGGGCCTTGGGAGGCATCGCAGCAGACAGGGGGGGGACGGTTGGGCGGGGGGAGTGTTGAATAGGCGTGGGAGTGAAGGGACAACGCAGGGCCTTGGATGAGTATATAAAGGTCGACGAAGCAATAGACAGGGATCGTGAGATGTGTGAGTCACGGCCAGACAAGGCAAGAGCAAAGCAATGGCAGGGAAGGCGTGGCCGCTGAAGGGGTAAAGGAAAGGAAGGAGAAGGCAGGTGCACGGTAGGAACGGATAGGCTCAAAAAAAAGCGGAAGGAACCACCTATGACTCGCTTCGCAGAAAGAACAGCCAACACACCCTTTTTCCAAAGGGCTGGCGGCCGTAATTTTTTGGTGCGGGGCAATTTCAATGGGCGAAGGCTAGTCGTCTGGTAGACAGGAACGGGCGGGCGGGGCAGAGAGTTATCTCTTAGCGTATGCGCACAGGGGCAGCAATACGAGAGGGGCGGGAATCACAACAACACCGCATCCTTCCTAAAACGGCGGCAGCTTCAATACTGGGCACACCGCTCTTATGGGGATATAATTACCGCGACTCGAGTTTCATTTGCATTCCCTTTGTTTGGGACGGATTGGCCGATAGGGCTCAATGATATAAGACACCAAATGAGAATTCGACGCCGTATGAACCGGTATGAGTCAAACTAGACTTGGAGGGATATGGAAGTTGTATGACTCGTTTATTTCTGTAGTCTTTTCGGACATCATACACTTCTGCATTCTAGTTTGGTTTGTTCTGTGAACAACGTCTCTGAAAGACAGATCTCGACCGTCCCTATGATTAGAAGGTCCATCTCGTTGGTGACGAGGTCGTCTAGAATTGACGTGCATGCAAATGTAAGCAATGCCAGACGGAGAAAACCAGCGATACCGACTCCACAGAACAAAATCAATCCAAACAGCAGAAAAGCCCATGACAGGGAAAGAGAAGAAAGAGAAGCAACGAGAAGAATGGTTTTGTGCAAACATAGCATCGAAGAACTGCATATATCCAATACACCAGGAATCCATATCGTGGCCGCCAGTGTACATTTTTGGTCATTTTTTGAGTTGCCCCAAAGATACAGAATGTATAAGAAGAAGGGAGAGAAAACAATTAGAGGTATCTGTGAAGACGAGAAGAATATAATGGAAGAGTATCAGTAAGAGATGCAAAAGATACCAAAGACAAAATACAAAAAAGCATATCCGTAGAACCAGAGCAGTATAAGTAAAGGTAAGGTCATCAATGCGTTCGAGGCCAGCAGGTTTTATTTTGCTTGCCGCGCGCAGTCGTATATTTTTTGTTGTTTGTTCGTTCGTTGTTCGTGATTCGTGTCGTTTGGATGCGATCCAGAATGTGTATCAATCTATTTGATCAAGAAGGAAAAGAAAAGAGGAAGTGAAGCATGCCGTAAACAAATGACGTAAAATGCATTCGCCATCATACACTCAACTCTCTCAAGAAAAAGAATAAAGAAAAGGGAAAGACGAAGCGAGACCAGCATTTCAGCCTTGGAAGCGGCCTGGATATTCGTTTTGCCGGCCCAGCACATATGCTTCAAAGGACTCCGAGGTCATGGAACGGGCAGTGACGGGGCCTGCACGTTCCGGGGTGGCCGGTTCCCACGCGTCGTCGGTGATGGCGCGGAAGAGGTAGTGCTCGTAGCGTGTGCGTGCAAGGTTTGGGTGGGTTGGGTGAGCCGGAGGAGGGGGAAGGGGTGGAGGTACAGCATCTGCGGCAGTGTCGCCAGCGTCAGAGCCTGCATTGCCAACGGCGTCACCGGTGGCATTTCCAGCATCACCGGCATCGACATGATTATGACTTGCAACACCTGGGCCGTCCACGAGCGTCCCGGTCTCGCAGAAAAAGGCGCCCTCAAGGTGCATGCGCTGCAGATGCGGCAACCGGCCGCCGCGCAGACTGCGGAACAGCGACCAAAACGTGCCGTTGCTCAGGCGGACACCGCCCATGGGCAAGTCAAAGCCGCCGCCGGCCATGCCGCGCCCGCCGAGACGGAGGCGTTCGAGGGTGGCAGCGTGACGCAGCAGAAAGCCCCGCAAGTCACTCTCGTCGCACACGACACCCTCCAGCTTGAGATCCGTCAGAGCGCGGAAGCGGAACCCGGTGTCACTTGCGCTGGAACTACTGCTAGGGGCGGCGAAACCATGACTGTTGCTGACCAGAGGCGGCCCTTCTAGGCTGCCCGTCTCGCCCAGCAGCTCTCGCAGCGACAGCATGAAAAGCTCGCGGACAATGGAGTGATTGTGAAACGCAAGTGACAAGTGGGTTAGATTCGGCGCCATGCGCAGGACGTAGCCCAAACCATTGACTGCTTTGACTTTGGCCAGGGGGAATCCGACGTTGGACGTATCGAGCGCCAGCTCGAGCCGTGTCAGTCCGGCAAATACATCACGGCACTGGAACCATAGGCGGCGGTCGGCCTGGTGGCGAAACAGTTCAAAGGGCAGACGGTCAATGGAAAAGGAGTCGAGGCGGCAACGGCTTGCGGGCTCGTCCGCTGCTGCGGGTGGGGATGCGGGTGACGACGGGGCCGGCGACGAAACAGCGGACGAGACAGGGGACGACGTGCGAGTGGATGCGATCGAGGCGGCGGCCGACGCCACGGCGGAGGTGGGTGCCGAGGCATAGGCAGATGCCGACGAGGGGAACGAGAACAGGTCGCCGCGCGAGCTGCGGCTGCTGCGGGCGCTGTGCCCAAAGGACGACCCCGACGACGGCCGGGATGCACATGCCTGCTGCAGGGCTGCCATGAGGACATTGAGGCGCTTGATGGCGGCGCCGTAGTTCATCTTGGCACTGGCAGGATTGAGCATGGCCATGCGTAGCTCGTCAATGTCGTAAGGCGTATGGCGGAACGTAACAGCGAGCGTGTGCAGATTGGCGAGGGAGCGGAACGTGGCGGCCAAGTCGGCCGGGTCCAGAGCGTGTAGAGGCGTGATGGCAAGGCGGCGCTGCTCAAACTCGGCGCACTGGCGCCATGCTTTCGTCAATACATTTGTCTGGTGGTCCGGGCGGTAGTGCATAGTCTCGTAGTACGTGGCCTGGCGGGCGTTTTCGATGTCCACCTCGGTGAAATTGAAGGTGACGGACTTGATACTGAAGCGCAGGCGCTCGTGGGTGGCAATGGCACGCAAACGTGCCACGTCATCTCGCCATGGCAAAGCAAAAAAGTCTGGCGGCAGGAGATAGTCGTAGCCAATATCGGCCAGCGTCGGGGTGAGAAGACGAAGGTTGCGGATGGATTCCGAGTCGCAATAGCCAAGGACAAGCTGGAGCAGCTCGACCGGGAGGCTGTCCATGCTGCAGAGGCAAGACAGGCGAAGAGGGATACGAAGTGAGGGACGAGGCCAGAGCGGCCCAGAGATGGTGAGGTTCAATGAGGTGAGGCGCGGGTCACGAGATCACGGTCGTATGCCGTTGGATGTGACGGCAAGGGGGGCAAAGCACAAACGGTGCGCGTGCGTGAGACAGAAGAGAACCGGATATAGCGAAGGCAATAAATCGAAGGAGAGCGCTCGGCAAGGCTTCATATATGTTGTTGATACGAAGCACACGGACCGGGCGTTGCCAAAAGTCGGGCGGCGAGACAGTCGGCAGGGAACTAAAGATAAAACAAGAGGCAACGGGCAGCTAAATCGGGCATAAAAAGTAGCCTGTAAAGCTGGAGGCCGATCAGCGTCTGGGGAAGGGCGGTGGGAGTTGGCGGCGTGAGGCTTGGCGCCTCGATGCGGAGGAAACAAAGCAGGAGAAAAGAAAGGAGAAAAGAAGGAAATCAAAATGAAATAATCAGAGAGAAAGACAAGAGGGAAACGACGATTTAAAGTAAGGTAAGAGCCGACCTGGCCATGGCGAGGAAACTGCGATGCAGCATGCGACAGAATGGGGAAAGAAAGCATGGGAATTAAATTTACTGCCAAAAAAAAAAGGATTTATACAAAAATGGAGATGCAACCCACAGCCGGCGAGAGTCGGTGAGCTCAACACAAGGCAGCAAAGGACCCCTGTATGGGGGCCAGCGGACTAAAACACACGAATCTGGAGTTTTCTGTGAATGGTCCTGCAGTGCTTTCCGCTGAGCATGCAGAGCGATATGTGAAAAGGAACAACAGGTGCATTTTTCGGGATTATTCTGTTCTCCATTTGGCTAGCAAGAATCCGAAGCTGGCTCCATTTTGAAGCCCGTGTGACTGCCGGGCCGCTGCAGCCCAGTGCCGTCCGAGAAGAAAAGGCGGAGGAGGAGGAAGGCGCGAAGCAGGAACAGACACAAGAGGGTGTGAGGAAGGTGCAGAGGGGATTGAGCGTGTCGGCTTCTGACGTTCCTTCCATGTGTCTTCTGTGGCATCCACCCTGCTTTGGCCGGCCGCTCTTTCCTGGTGTCAGTCGATGTGAGCATGCAACGATTGTCTTCAAACGGAAACGACGATCTTTGGCCGTCTCGTCCCCTTTTCCCCTTTGGAATGCCTTTGGACATTTTTAGAAACTACACTTTACTTCACCTCGTTGACTTATTTCTTTGCTTATTTCGTGAATTTTCTTCACATTTTTTAGTCATTCTTTGGGTGCTTGCACATCCTGTGCCCTCCTGCATGTCGCCCCATCTCTTTACATCCCAACAAGCGGTGATGGTGTGGCAGCCCCTGTCGTTGGTTGGCCCCGAGAAGAACGCCAGAACGACACAGAGAAGACCGAAAGAAGAAGAGAAGAGCCATACAAAGCGGTTGCTTTTGCGTCCGCCACTCACAACGCAGCCTGGCCGCCTTTGCCCCCATCGGTTGGGCCCAGCGTATTACAGGCGGGCAAAGACGAGAGGCAAGACGGCAGCCAAGTGGGCCGCCTGGGTCGCCCTGCATCAAGAAAGTCGACGGAAAGCCAAAGCAGCAAAAAGAGGCAACAGCAGGAAGAGGAGGTGAGAGGGTGCCTATCTGAGGCAAAGAGGCGGAACGACCGCTGGTTGGTCTGCACACCGAGGCCCGCATGGGTTTGTTGGCGGTTTCTGACCTTTGCAGCTGCAGGCCGACTTTCTTTTTGCAGTCCTCACGCTGCAGAGGAGCTGCAGCTGCACGAACAGGGGATGCCAAAAGGCGGATTGGTATGTGACCACTCGACCACCCACAAAGCAAACCGCCTGCACCTGAGACGCGCCTGGGCAGGCCAGGGACCAGAAGAGAAACTGACCAGTGGACTGGTAGACTGGCATACGAAGTACATGCAGAAGCAAGAGACAAGAGAAGCAAGACGGCTCCGATTGCGCGGCACTCCGTCACCCGTCGACGTTGGGCACAGATTGCTGGCCTGTGCATCTGAGCTTCACCGCCAAAAGATGGGGCTCGACAGCTGTGCACTACTCCAATTTGGCTACCCAGTATGTCGTACAACAGATTCCGTACGCGGTAATACGTCCTGGGGCAACTCCGACTCGTGCAGGTCGCCAGGAACGGCACGCCGTTGTTGATCAATGAAGAAGGGAACAACGGTGGAAGAGGCGATCAGAGAGGATCGTCGCCTTGCTCCTGATCATTTGGCCACGGTCAGTCTCACACAGCGGCTCTATCAGCATCCCTTATCGATATCAACACTCTGGCCGACCTTTGCTTATTTTGTTTCTTCGGCTTGCATTCTTTGCTGCTCGCTGCCTGGCGAGCCTGGGTCTGCAGCTGTCCGTATCCCCCATTCATCCAGAGAGCACTTTCTACAACTTTGATTTGCTATTACATGTCTCTCTCTCGCCACCACCGCCCCACCCCGTCCAAGGCTGCCGTTTTGCACGCCCACAACGACCTGAGAACACTGAAACCGAATTCAGTTGAGCAAATATCGACAGTCTTCTTCCTCGCTGCAGGTGTACGTGTGTTGCACACCGTCCGTGATAGCATATCCGCCACTAATGAGGTGTCGGGCGTTGTCAGAAACTGTGAAACCGGATACGAAGAGTCGAGCGGACAATAAAGTCAAAGTCCGACATTATGTGTGAGCCCACAGAAACTAGTTGGGCTCGTAACAAGGGCGGGTGGGCAAATGAGCCAAGGGTGCCTAGAAACCCTGAAAAGTTGCATCTTTAGCGCCTGTCCCAGCACTCTCCAGCGCCTGTCTTGCACAGGCACAGGCGGCACCAGCCCTACCCGCAACCATCTTTACGCGGCAGCGCCACGGCAACACCAAGACGCCAAAACACGCCGCGTACTCGTCCACCTCATTAAACCGCAGTCTCCAGCCAGTTTGTTCCGTTCTCCGACAATATCGCGACTATCCCACCTCGACAGCGACGAACGTAGGATTATCCGCAGCCGTCCTCCTGCTCGCTACAGAAGACAAATACGAATTTGCAGCATCTGATATCCGGTATCGACTTTTAACAGACGATCGCGCTGCGCTGCTCGTATCGACAATATTGACAGCATCGAGTCCATCGAGACATCGCCAACATCAAATATCGCACAAGTCGACAACGTCTTCTACAGCCTCATCGCGGCATGCACGCTTATCTCGCGCTGCTCCAGAAATGACACAAATAACAGCCGGTCAACGGCTATCGACATAAGACCAGCTACATCGTGACCGCGACTGGCCAACGTTACCATGGTCTTTGCTGGCCTCCTGGGCACCGCCAAACAGCCGCGTCGACGGCAAAGTTCTGCCGCCAGCGGCCGTAGCGGCTTCCTGCGTCCGGGATCGTCATCGAGCGCGCGCACAGTAGACGAAAAGGAAAAGGGCAAGGATGCCGAGGACGCGATCGACGACGAAGACGAAGATACCACTGGTGAAGACAGTGCCAATGACGCAAACGACGCCGCCTCGACCCGGACGATGAATAGTGCCCGTAGCGCCCGCAGCGGAGGGGGCGCTCGAAGTGGACGCAATACAGCAGCAATCTCGGCATCATCACCACCCTTACACCCTCCGGACTTCATCGCCGACGAAACGCACCTCGCGCCCGTCTTTCGTGAAGCGCCCGACTTACGCGAGCTCAACAACAGCTTGGCTGCTCTTGCTGTCGTTTTTCCCGATGTCCAGGTGGATGTGTTCCGCGAGATGCTGACCAGCTTCGACGGCGAGTCCCGGCTGGCTCTCGTTGCCGACGCTCTCCTCAAGAGCAGGGCCACCTGGGTCAAGGGACGCTGGCGCATCGCCAACAAGGACAAATCCCCGCCCCTGCCCTCCGCCTCGTCCTCCGCCTCTTCTTCTGTCACTCCGACCGCTTCTGCCATCTCTGCCGCCGAGCGGTTCCGTACCCCCGAGTACAAAAAAGCCGTCAAGACCCTCGCTAGCCACGAGTTCATGGGTCTCTCTCGCTCCACAATCAACGCCGTACTGGCCGAGCAGAATTATGCCTACCTCGACGCCCGCCGCACCCTCGTCGAGATGTCCTCCAAGTCCTGGCGCTTCACCATCTCGTCGCTCTTTTTGCGCCGCAAACCCGTTGCCTCCACCGAGGCCGAGAACCACCCCCTCGTCATCTGGAAGTCCACGGGCCAGGGGTCTATCATCCCGACCATCAAAGCCACCGGCAGCGCCGAGCTCGACCGCGAGTTGTATACTGCTCTCGTCGCGCCGCTGAGAGCACAAAAACGCTCCGAACAGGAAGATGCTGACCGCACCATGGCGTCCGCTCTCAACACCGCCGAGGCCGAGGCCGCTGGCGCCACCTTTGAGTGCGCTTGCTGCTTCACGTCCACTACATTCGAGGAGGTGACGACGTGCAGCAACAGCGACGGGGGCGATGACGGCGACGGTGCGCATATCATTTGCTTCCGCTGCGTGCAACACTCGGTCCGCGAGGCTGTTTTCGGCCAGGGCTGGGCCCGCACCATCGACACCAGCCGCGGCACCTTATGGTGCCCGGCCGTCTCCCATACCGAGTGTAGAGGCATCATCCCCGTTGACCACATGCAGCGCGCCCTGCTCGACGAGAAGCGTGGTGCCGACACCCTGCAGCATCTTGAACGCCGCCTGGCCGACCACAGCCTTGTGGGGAGCGGTCTACCTCTCGTGCGCTGTCCCTTTTGTGCCTACGCGGAGATTGACGATATCTACGTGCCTTTCCACGAGGCTCCACTACGAATCCGCGTTGATGGCCTCTACAGCCTCGCTTTTATCCTGCTTGTGTCCGGCGTGACCCACGTCCTAATCCTTCCGCTTCTTGTGTTGTTGGTCCTCGTCACCATCCTGCCCGGGTTTATGGCCCCCGTCGGCCTCGCTTCATGGGTTGTGTCTGCATGGAGTGCCCTCAAATGCAACTTTGGCGGCGTTGACAGCAGTAGCAGCAGCAGCAGCAGCAACAACAATAACAATGGCACATTGCGAAGGAGAAAGACAGCAGCCTCCAGTAAGCCAAACTACTTTTGCGAACAGGTCTCCGCAGCCGTTACCCGCTTCCGCCGCCGCCGCCGCGGCCAGCAGTTCCGCTGCCAAAACCCGGCCTGCGCTCGCGTCTCGTGCATCGGCTGCTCCAAGGCCTGGACGGACATCCACGTCTGTCACGAGTCCAGCCTCGTTGCACTGCGCACCCAGGTCGAGCAGGCCATGAGCATGGCCATCAAGCGCGTCTGCCCCCGCTGCCACACCTCGTTTGTCAAGGCCGTCGGCTGCAACAAGTTGACCTGTCCCTGCGGATACAAAATGTGCTATGTTTGCCGCAAAGACATTAGCGGCAACGAAGGGCCCGACGCCGGCTACCGCCACTTTTGCGAGCACTTCCGGCCCCACGGCGACGGCCGTCCCTGCACCCAGTGCCGCCGCTGCAACTTGTGGGAGACGGAGGACACCGAGGCCGTGCTCCAGGCCGCTCGCGAGGAGGCCGAGCGCAAGTGGCGGGAAACGGAGCAGCGTGACCTGAGCCTCTCCGAGCGCGCGTACCTAGAGACGGGCATTGCGATTGGCGGCGGCACGGCGGCCGGTGGCAGCGTCCGCGTCAGCGGGGGCAGCAGTGGTGCTGGCGGCCCCGGCGTCGGTTTCGGTGCCACACCCACCGGTGCCATCCTTGCACGGCGTGCGATGACGGGCGTGGTGGCATGGGCGACGTCGCTGCTGTCGTGGTCACCGTTGTCCGGCAAAGAAGAGGGTGGTGGTCGACGCACGGCGGCCGAGGCTTTTGATGCTGCCAACCAGGCCCGGTTCCCAACTTTGGCCGAGACCCTTGACTGGCTACTCGAGAGCATCCTTGTATGAGCGAGAATGAACATAGCTCAGCTTGCGTTTCCGTTTTGTTTTGTTTTTGTTTTTGGATACTCCCCTTATTCCCCCCTCTTCTAATATTCTTTTGGGTACCCTTTTCTTCTTTTTATCCTACTTTCTTTATTAATCATGTCTACAGGGCGTTTGCTTAACGTTTTTCGCTCATTTCTTTTTTATGACATTCCCTACGGAGCTTGTTTTCACATTATACCTCCTCCCTCGTAATGATTTGTTTACAAAATACGGCCCAAAATACAAGACAAAACAGCACAGGTCGTCTTTATTCTCTATTGTATTTTAATTTCAATGATATCCAAAGGTCTCTCCAAGCAAAAACACAACTACAAATGAACAAAACACTTGATCATCTTGTCCTCGAGACGTTGTCCAAGACGGAAATATATTTTTAAAAACCCAATGTAAATCATACAGAACACGCAAGAAGCACGGAAACCGATAGTATAGTATAGTACATTCTTTTCCTCCACTCGCTCGCCCAGGTCAGCCGAGGCACGCCGTGGACCTGAACTTAGATCTTGCTCTTCTCCGACGACGACACCAGCTCCGCGGCCGCACCGCCAATGGCCAGCTTGCCCGTCTCCTTGACCTTGGTCTGGAAGATGATCTTGCCCGGGTTGGCCTTGTCCTTCCACATCTCCGTCACCAGCGTCTGGCCGGGCAGCACCGAGCCCGCAAAGCGCACCTTGATGTTCTTGAAGGGGCCAAACGTCTCGTAGACGGCCTTGCCGGCGAAGCCGAAGAAGCACAGGCCGTGCAGGATGGGCACCTTGAAGCCGCCCATCTTGGCGAACGCCGGGTCCACGTGCAGCGGGTTGTAGTCGCCGCTGAGGCGGTACAGGGCGGCCTGCTCCTCGGTTGTCTTCTCCTCGACGACGACATCCGGGGCGCGGTCGGCGGGCGGCGTGTTGGCCGCCGTGGCAGCGCCGCGGTCCTGGACCTTGGGGTTGCCGCCGAAGCCGCCGCAGCCGCGCAGGAACACAGTGGTCTCGTTGTAAAACAGCTCCTCGCCGGTCTCGGCGTTGACGGTGGTGATGCCATTGCGGACAATGGCCGACTTGCCCTTGTCCACGACCTCGAGCAGCTTGCCGTACGACTGCAGGCGGCCCGACGTGGGGACCGGGTACTTGCGGACCTCGAGGTACTGCTCGCCGTGCAGCAGCATCATGGGGCTGAAGTTGGGCACAATGTCGTCGAAGCTGTATGGCAGCTCCGCATCAAAGGGCGGGATCACACCGAACGTCGGCAGAACCTGGAAGTCGTCGGCACCCTCACTACGGCGTGTTAGTGACCCAGTAGGTTGGCAACGGCCGTGTCGGTGACAAAGGGGGGGTGGGGGAAGCCTCTTACAAGACGTATTTGAGGTCGGAGCGCTTGGCGCCAACACCAAGGTTGTAGAGCATCACGTCGCGCTCTTGGAACTTGAATTCGGACGGGCTAGGCTTGGCCGCCTTGGCGGCCTCGATGGCGCGGAGGAACTCGTTGGACTCGCCGGAAGGAGCGGCATCGGACTGCAAAGTGGAAGAAAAAAAAAACGTTTAATATCCAGTAACATTTTCTCTAGCTATAGATATGGGTAACAATGTGCAAAAAGAACAAAGTAGCAGAAATGGGCATACTGTTGCCGCCCTTTCCCAAATTCCCAACCATGCGACAACAAAAAAAAAAGAAAAAAAAACGGAACAAGGCACAGGAACAAAAGAGAAAGCAGAAATAGCTCATACCTTGGCCTTAGTCTGCTGCTCAGCCTTGAGCCACGATGTGCAGTCCTCCGCTTTGGTCGGGTGGTCGGCCTTGCCGTTGTCGAAGTCGACAATCTGGTCCCACGTCTTGGCGACGTCCTCGGGGGTGAGGGCCTTGCTGCGCGGGTAGGCAACACCCGACGAGCGCTCGAAGCGGGTGCGGCCAGCCCAGCCACTGCCGACCTCGTACAGGAGACCGGTCGGGTTCTCGGGCACCTTGTCGCTGCACAGGGCGAGGACGAGGGGCGCAATGTAGTCAGGCTTGAAGGCCTGGACCATCTCCTCGGGCAGAATGGTGCGGGTCATGGCCGTGCCAGCGTTGGGGGCGATGGTGTTGACGTAGATGTTGTGCTTCTGGCCCTCGACGGCAGCCGCCATGGACAGACCGAGGATGGCGCATTTCTAACAAGTTAGTATGAGCGCTTCAATGAATGAAAATTGCACAAAGTAAACTCACCGCCGCGGAGTAGTTGGCCTGGCCAAAGTTGCCGTAGATGCCGGACGTCGACGTGGTGTTGACGACGCGGCCGTAGTTCTGCTTGACAAAGTAGGGCCAGGCAGCCTTGGTGACCTTGAAGGTGCCGCGGGCGTGCACGTTCATGACAGCATTCCACATCTTGTCGTCCATGTTGGCAAAGGCCTTGTCGCGCAGGATGCCGGCGTTGTTGATGACAATGTCGATGCGGCCAAAGGCGTCAATGGCAGCCTTGACGACGGTGTCACCGTCCTCGGCCGAGGCCTTGACACCGACGGCCTTGCCGCCCATCGCCTTGATCTCGTTGACAACGTCGTCGGGGTTCGCCAGGTCGTTGACAACGATGGCGGCACCGTACTTGGCAAACGCCAGGCAGTAGGCACGGCCGATACCGGCACCGCCACCCGTGACGAGGGCGACGCGGCCCTTGAAGCTGACCTCCTCGCCGCCCTTGGAGGGGCCCATCTGGATGGAGTCCTCGAGCAGGGTCATGAAGTCGTTGGGGCCGTTGGGGTACTGGGCGTCCTTGGAGAAGTCGCCAATCTTCTTCCAGTTCTTCAGCAGGGCACCCGGGGTGTAGGTCTCGTCGCACTTGAGCAGCAGACCATCGGCGCGCTGCCAGCGCATCTTGGAGATGTGGGCACCGCCAACCTCGTAGACGTAGCCGGTCTCGGTCTCGTTGGACTTGTGGGCCAAGAACGCGACCAGGGGCGTGACCCAGGCGGGCGACACCAGCGACAGGAGCTCCTTGCTGCTGCCCTGAGACTCGCTCATGCGGCTGGCCGCGAGCGGCGCGACAGCGTTGCTCAGGATGTTGTACTTGATGCCCTCCTTGGCAAGGGTCTCCGTGAAGCCGATGATGGCGGTCTTGGCGGCCGAGTAGGCAGCCAGGTTGCCCGAGCCGTAGAGACCGGCAGCGGACGTGGTGTTGATGACACGGCCGTACTTCTGCTTACGGAAGTGGGCCCAGGCAGCGCGGGCGCACTTGAAGCTGCCGGTGACGTGGACGCGGATGTGGTCGTCCCAGTCCTGGTCGGTGGTCTTGGAGAAGGGGAGCTCGCGCAGAATGCCGGCGTTGTTAACCAGCACATCGATGCGGCCGTACTTGCTGATGGCCGTCTCGATAATCTTCTCGCCGACCTCGACCGAGTCGTAGTTGGCCACGGCCTCGCCGCCAGCCTTCTTGATCTGGTTGACGACATCGTCGGCAGGCTGCGGCTGTGTTAGTGATGCAAACAGCAATCCAGTGTGTCTCATCTCGACCTCATCGACGCCTGGCCAGCATTGTCATTGTGTCGCTTACCCGTGTGGAGGTGCTGCCGCTGCCAGACAGCTGAACGCCAGTGTCGTTGACGACAACCTTGGCACCGCGCGAGGCGAAGAAGAGAGCGTAGTCCTTGCCGAGGCCGCCACCAGCACCGGTGACGACGACGACCTGGTCGTCGAAGCGCAGCTGCTCAGCCATTGTGAATGTGTGTGAGGGAGGGAGAGGATGGGGATAGATGAGGAGATGCGGGAGTTGAGCAAGGACGAGAAAGGAAGAAGAGAAAGAAAATGGAAAAGAGAAGATGCAGGAAATGAGTTTAGAAGAGGTCTAGATAAAATGCCAGGTTCACCTCCACATGCAAAAAAGAGAGATACAAAGAGCCAGTCAATTAGCCGGTCGCGTTCAGGGCGTTCTGGGGGATGCGTGTTTATAAAGTACACAGGTGGCAGAAAAGAAAAAAAGGCGGATTACGGGCGAGAAAAAGAAAGAAAAGAAGCGGCCCGTTATGAGCTCACAAGCTTATGGCTTTGGATTACTCCGGCGATGGGAAAGCGTGGAGGGGGGGGAAGGCGCGGGCGGCGGTGATTGTTCGCAGCTCCCTGTTTGGGGAGCCATTTGGAGACACTGACGAAAACGCTCTCGGCATCTCCAAATTCCTCGCATGTCTCAAGCCGAGGCACCTTCAGGTGCTTGCACTGCGAGAGCGCTGGCCTGGTATTGGCGGATACCCCGGATGGGAAGGTGGAAAATGTGGGCACCTTCCCCAGCAACGTCCTGACTCGTGATTGCCGAGCGGGGCGTTGTTGCGACCGCGCCTTCCCTGTCAGCATACATATCTTTCATAGAGCATAATTAGGGGCTGTCTCCTGTGTAAGTCGTACTTTGTGCCCACTGTAATTTCTCCGTATTTCTTCTGTCCAAGTCAATCGCCGCAGCCCAGCGACTGCATGTGCAACTAACTGACCCACAACGAGAAGAATTAGGGGTGTTTGGGGCCGAGTTGAGGACTCCCAGCAGCCATTGTTCGTTGCTGGAACCAGTTGAACACCTGTCAGCCGTACCTTCCCACTCTGTAGAAATTGGTCTTAGAACAGCGTCAGCGCGTGCCATAGAATACTTCAGACGGTAGGAGCGAGCCGACTAGGTACGATAAAACTTGAATGGTAGGAAGGCACGCTTCGACTGGTCTTTGCGAGGAAGGTGCGACGAAGAGCCACCAAACATGCAACTAACGATGATTTAATTTCCCCACAAAGTCGGCTGTCGTCCTCGTTCTCGCAAAGTCTGGAGAACAAGTTGAAAGCTCCTTGCTCGCTGACGAATGGGCCAGTGTGATCTTCACATGTCAAAAGCGGACAGTGCTATACAAAATGTCGTATGTTGCCACACTAATCATGCCTTTCCTAATTCGGACAGTCGTGTGGTCGCTCCTACTCGGTATGAGGTCAGAGGTACCACAAGTCACGAGGGACGCGGAAGGTGAACCTGCCAC